GGATGGCTTTTCGTTTTCATTCTATAAGGCGTGTTGGGAGGCAGTGCGATCGGACATTATGGAGACCATCACTTATTTCTTCGAGCGTGGCAGGTTTATGAGAAGTTTTAATGCTACATTTATTGTGCTGATTCCTAAGAAATCGGGAGTGTCTGATATCAAGGATTATCGTCCTATTATCCTAGTCAGTGGGGTGTATAAGGTCATTGCTAAAGTATTGGCTAATAGATTGAAGGAGGTTCTGGGAAAAATGGTGTCTAAGTTTCAGAATGCTTTTGTGAAAGGGCACCAGATGATGGATTCAGTTCTCATAGCGAACGAGTGCATTGACTCAAGATATAGTCAGGGGGATCCAGGGATGTTGTGTAAGCTGGATACTCAAAAGGCGTATGATCATGTCAACTGGGGATGTACATACATGTCCCACTTTTGATTTCGTGGGAAAATACTGCCCAATCAACCTACAACGTTTAATGCACAATGTAAAAATATGTATGGATTTCATTCTTTTGTGTTATGTCTCTTAGAAAAAACGACCACTATTTTCTGTCTCTTGGACTGACTTTCGAATCAATTGACTTGATTTCAAATGTTTAATTGTGATCCTTTGTTTGGAAATATGCGGATTTGGGAACATTTATCTAGAATAATCATTTTACTGAACTTAAAATGTTGACACTGCTCATAACATTTTCTGAATTGCGATACTGGAAGCTAGTTATGTTTCAAAATTTGATTTTGTGTCATGGTGGTCCAGAATCTACTGTTTTCGTACAACATTGCAGTGGATAGATCTGATGAGATGAAAAGAATACTAGGAAAATCTGCTGCAAGTGTGGGTCTCCAGCTTCTCGATGTCTATCAGACTTGATAATTGGTAATTTATCATCTTCTCGCTATATCGGATAATTCTTTTATTTGATCATCAAGCATAAACATACGAGGCTGGTTAAATACTAAATAAAAGTTTCTGCTTGGAGGAAAGAATTTAATTTTCATTAAGATTCATTATCTTTTTTGAGAGGAACGTGTGGTGTGAACCATGTTAAAGAGCAAACTTTCGTCAAAACAGCTGTTTACTTTACCATGGGCCTCCAGTTACATAGCTATATTTGTAAATGGCTGATGGAATGAGGCTCCTTGTTTCTCGTGATGTGCAAATTGCTTGTTAGTTGTTTCCCAATTACATGATTAAGTTGGCAAGACTTCCAATGCCAGTGGGGATGCAGGGCTGCACCGTTAGCTTACATCTGTTATGAAGCTAACAAGCTACCCGATTGAAACTTTGGTCCATTATTTTCTTAATTTTGATCTTGCTCGTGATTGTGCACACAAAAGCTCTTTGTTATGTCTGTTAATCTGCAACTTATATACCCATTTTTGCATCTGTATACTGCTACACTGTGTGCATAAATGTGAAAGGCATTCACTTCAGAGGACGGAATACATTTTTAGGGTCACAAATATGGAGAAATACAATCTTTAACTAGTAAAGGAAAGTGTGTAGCTATATTTTAAAATGACTGTCTTACTGGTTCTATTTTCTTTGTTAATCAATCATTTTAAACTTTATTGTAGGAATTGAATTTCGTGGCAACGTAGTCAAGGGTGACGAGTGAGTTTCAGGGTATGGTAGCTTACCTTGATACAGGTTATTGGCACCATTGTCATGGCATTTGTACAATTAACTAAAAGTCATTGAGTGCAGATGAATTCTTGACTGTATCTTGACTTGGCTCAAATAAATTTTTTGAATAATGTTCCATGTCTACTCTATCAATCTTCTGCGAGTTCGAACTTATTGGATGTTCACAAGTTATTTCTTTATTGTTTCTGGTGTCAAAATAGCATCTAATAGATCATAGGCTAAAAGCAGTGACTGACATGATTACGTGCATAAGAAGCAACCTTTGACTCGATGTGACAATTTTCTGCAAGTTCTTGCTTCCATGTCTTGTAGTACGTTGGCCAAAAGCATAACGCCTGGGAGAAAGAACCAACACTCGATCTCTAGAATATTTTGTGGTCGCAATTAGAGGTGTAAACCTTGGCTGTCCAGTAGTTATAACTCAATATCTAGGAGTCGAACATTTAGAAGAAATAAAAGGACACAGCAATCAACTGGTCATAAATATGCTAAGATGTTGGGATTATTGATCTTCTTCAACAATAGTAAAATTTTCATTCCAAAAGCAAAAGAGCATTGATACATCATTACACAGCACCAAAGAATAATTTGCAGGCTATTAACCAACCAAACCACTGTCGTTCCCCCCCTAGCAGCATTGTCTTTCTCCTAACCTTATGTGGTTTTTAGCAATTATAAGTAGGCCAACGAAATTCTCTACTCGTCCAGCAGAAATACCACTTTATTCTTCTTGACAAAGTCGTGGATTGTATGATCTACCACCTGCACATAAAGCCAAAAGGAAAAATTACACCATGATTTAGGGACATCTCCATATAGCAAAATGAACATATGGATGTTGAGCCATTAAACCATATAACTAATAAGCCTCTTAGAGGTTTTTTGGCTAATTAAGTGCATAAAATCGTTAATTTTATTCAATGGTCATTATTTAGTACTGCACCAATCCATAATAAGGAAAAGGCATTTTTGAACGTACGTATACACTATATTTTAAAATATTCTTTATAAAGTTAAAGACTTCAAGAGAATGGCAAGTTGACCCTTGGAAAGAGCCAGTGTCAATTCACTCAATCCAATCTTATCCACCCAAAATAGAAACCAACTCAAAGTTAGAATCGTCCTCGGCAACTTGCTAGTCAGATGATGCAGCAATATTTTTGGATGTTTATTGGGATGTAGAGCTTTGTATTACCAACAGTTATTCAGGAAGAACGTCTTTTTCAAAAGCCATTGTTTGATATCCCAGAACACACTTTAAATTTGGGTAATTTCTGTGTATGCTTATGAAGACCCCCACAGATGAGCATATCAAGAAATTATGAATTGACTGCCAGCATCCAGCATTGGTCATGCTACTATAACTGGAATTTCCAATGTCGCCTAAACTATTTCTGTAAAGTCCCGAAAATTTTCATAGAATAGAATTAATTATTCTATATGCTTTTTAATGTTGAGGAAAGTTAGGGACTAAAGTGTATATATATATATATAATTTATTTTTATATTGGTCAAATATTTAGATATTGATGGAGCAATGATAAGTAAATGGATATTGGGCTCGTTGAATGTATTGTAATTAATCATGCATATTAGGTTCAAGAAAAAGCCGAGACCTAAGTTATCAAGGTCGAAAGATATCGTCTTCAATTGTTATTTAATTAAGTTAATTAATGAGTTAGAATACAAGGGTGACGAGTGTAGAGTAAGTTTATTGATAAGTTATTAATTGATTTTTATTAAATAAGGATTTTTTATTAAAAAAAAAAAAAAGAATTGTGGGGCAGCCACGTGTGTAGGAGTAGTTGAAAAGGTGTCAATTAGTTTTATTTTAATACTACATAATTGCCTTGATTTTGGGAATTGGTAATGATAGCCGCCACATTTGCTGGATGGGAAAGGAAGTGATTTTTAATTGTATGGATTACTAGGATTGAGACATTTTTTGGGGAAAACATGGTATTTTGTAGATTTTTAGGCCTATTTTTCCCTTTCAACTTTAAATACCATACAACGTAACCATTATGTACCTTACAAAGAAAAGAAAAGGAGAAAACATAGATACGTATTACCGTAGCATCAAGTAGAAATTAAAGATTTGGAACGTGAAATTCTTGCCTTTTCTTCCAACCATCCTTTATATCAATCAATTACGATAATGAGGTGCAGTTGATGTTATACCGTTTAATTTATTTCTTTTCATGTTGATGAATTATTATACTTATGAAAGTTAAAGATATGATATGATATGTATGATATGGTCATCCAGTACCAAATATATCATATGTATTGAGCTCTTACTGGGTTATAAAGATACGATGACGGTATGATTTTTTTTTTTACGCATGATCTAAATATTTTATTCGGGATTGCACCATGATTTTCGTCTCCTACAGAGTATTCACATGTACTCACCCTTTTTCGCCTACTCACAAGTTAGAACAGGTCATTGGTTGGCAGCCGATAATGTGTTGTCCTGGTATCAGGATTTATGGAATTAAATAAATAATCCGGTGTAATGTGACTACGGATTTATTTTTTTTTTGCATTCTTTTGGTTTATTTCTCACGTAGATCTTGTTATTTGGAACATATTTTATTTGGATATGTTTCCTACATGTTTTCATTTATTATTGGTAGAACCAGAATTTTCACGTTGGGTTGTTTGACAAAGTAACGATTTAAACTTTAAAAAAAATTGGGTCGTTACAATTTGGTATTAGAGCTTTAGGTTTAATTTTTCTGTAGACCTATATGTATTTTCATAAAATGAGTTTTAAAAAAAAAATTAGTCTACACGTCACTGTTCATGTCACCATTCACGTGAACAGTGATATAGAAAAATAGGAAGTTTGTTTAAATGGTTAATATGAATAGTGGAAAATAATTAAAAAAGAAATTTAGAAAAAAAAACACGAACAGAATTTGTTACTGCTCACGGTGAGCAGTGGACAGTGACAACCACTGTTTACGGTAAAAAAAATCTTATATGATATATATTTGTTACTGTACACGCATGATTAAAAACTCATATATGGTATTTTTCTTTAATTCTGAAATTGCAAAATAGTCCTTTAGTTATGCGGAGGTATACACATATAATTTTTAGAAATGCCCTAAAAATATATATATTTTGAAGATATATAAATTTAAGGATGATGTCAATTTAAAGTTCTTAAATATGTGAAAGATTTTTAGCACTCAACGACCACCGATTGACCACCTTCTGACGACTCTAAGGTATGTAAAAGGGTAAGAAGACGAATTTATTCAAATATTTTGTATAATCTACATCTTTAAAAAAAATTGCCTACTTTTTAAGTTTTAAGACATGCATATTCTTCCTCGCTAAATTCATAAAATGTATTACGATAGTATATGTATAAAATTTTAGACTTAGTATTGGTATGTGACGGGCAAACTAACACTAATTTTAGGATATGGCACTACCTACCCACATGAATTTGATGTGTGATTTGTTGTGAGCGGTACAAGAGTTGAGCAGACAAAATCAAGCGTCTCCACTACAAAATGCACCACCATCGCAAGACGCATCTCCATTTGTACCTGGAGCTGTTTCAGTGGTTAGCCGTTTCGTAGGTACACGCCTCCTACTTTTGACAGTGGTTCCAACCTACTGGCTATTGAGAAATGGATTAGAGGTCTGGAGCGCATCTTTCGACACATTGCTTGTACGGATGCACAGAAGGTACTATGCGCAGAGTTTATGTATGTTGAAGCGGCCCGTCACTGGTAGGAATCTGTCTCACGTACTAAGACCGAAGAGCAGCAACGTAACATAACTTGGGAGCAGTTTAAAGATGAAGTGATGTTGACGTACTTTTCACATGCTTTGAGAGATTTCAAAGAATAAGAGTTTTTACAACTCAGATAAGGCAACTTATCGCTTTCTGATTACGAGAGGCAGTTTGAGCAGCTCTCAAGGTATGCCCTACAGTTGGTAGATACAGAAGTTAAAAAGACCAAGAGGCTTGAAAATGGACTATGCCTGGAGATCGGCATGATTATTATGTCTCATTGTTTCACTTCATATCGTGAAATGTTGGAGAGAGCTACATTTGAGCGGTATGCTCAATAAGGCAAGGAGTCAATGGGAAGAAGAAAGTGGAACGATCAGAGCAAGGACAGACGTAACAGCAGAATAAAAGACTAGTACATGAATTAGTATCGGTGGGACGAGAGGAAGTATTACACCGTTTTCAGTGTGGTAAGCCGGAACACATTGCTTTAAACTATACAGAGCCCCCGAAGAAGAAAGATGTCGGTCAAGACAAGAACAAGAAAGCAAAGGCCCGAATCTTTGCACTGAATCAACATAAGGCGAAGTAGGATCCGAATGTGATAGCAGGTATCTTATTATTATTTGAAGTACCTGTTTATGTTCTCGATTATGCATCATCCGTCACTAAGTCTAACATTATAATTACGAAAACATGTATTCTATGATTATCTGATATACTTGTTTACGTACCTTTTGACTCTGGGTTACAAATTCTTTTATCTCAGCATCATTTGTCGCTAGATCTAACTTTGCACGTGTGAAAACGAATAATGAATTAGAGGTTAGCATTCCTTCAGGAAAAACTCTTTACACAAATCAGATGATTGAAGCTATAAAGTTAAAGATTGAAGGGAAAATACTACAGGCGGACTTATACCTTTTGGAGATGAAAGATTTCAACGTTATTCTAGGCATGGACTGGTTGAGACTCAATCATGCGACGATTCGATGTCACGAGAAAGAATTGTTATTTCATAGACCCGGAGAGGAAGAGTTCCGTGTCTTTGGAGCAAAGTTCAAGTCTGTACCTCGCCTTGTATCGGCTTTACAAGCAAAGAATATGCTGAGAAAGGAGTCATGCCAAGGATTCTTAGTTAATATCATCAGTTCCAAGCACACAGAGAACCATTAATGATATTAACGTTGTGCGAGATTTTGCACATGTATTCCCAGAAGATCTACCAGACATTCCTCAAGATAGGCAAGTGAAATTTACAATTGACTTGGTTCCAAGAGCGGCACTAGTATCTAAGGCTCCATACCGAATGGCATAGAAAGAACCTTAAGAATTGTAGTTACAGTCGAAAGAGTTGCTGGAAAAATGTTTCATTCGACCAAGTGTATCTCCTTGGGGCGCTCCAGTACTTTTTGTGAAGAAGAAGGATGAGAGTATGATGATGTGCAATGACTATCGAGATTTAAACCATCTGACTATCAAAAATAGATACCCGTTGTTAAGAATAAAAGATTTATTCGACTAGTTAAGAGGTGCAACAGTGTTTTCAAAGATCGACTTGAGATGGGAATATCATCAACTGAAGGTCAAGTCAAGCGATATACCGAAAACTACTTTCTGGGCTCGTTATGAACAATATGAATTTACTGTCATGCCTTTAGGTTTAACCAATGTTCCAACTCTATTTATGGATCTCATGAATCGAGTGTTCCATTAGTACTTAGACCAGTTCTTCATAGTATTTATTGACGACATTCTTTTGTACTCCAAACATAAGAAGCAGCATGAAGAATAACTCCAAATAGTACTTGAAACCTTGAGGAAGGAGAAATTATATGTCAAGTTCAAGAAGCGCAAATTTTGGATGATCGAGTGGGTTTCCTCGGTCACGTAGTTACCGCCCAAAGAATTAAGGTAGACCCAGTTAAAGTGAAGGCAGTAACTAATTGGCCTAGACCGACTAGTGAAGGTGAAGTTCGCAGTTTCTTAGGGCTGACTGGTTATTATCGGAGATTTATTGAGAGTTTCTCAAAAATAGCAGATCCGATGACTCAGTCGACTATAAAGGGGGTAAAGTTTTAGTGGATGGAAAAATGTGAAAAATATTTTCAGAAACTCAAGCAAAGATTAGTTTCGGCTCCTGTATTGACGATACCTGAAGGTTCGGATGTTTTCGACCAGTTAAGAAGTGCAACGGTGTTTTCGAAGATCGACTTGAGATGTGAATATCATCAACTGAAGGTCAAGGTAAGCGATATACCGAAAACTGCTTTCTGGACTCGTTATGAACATTATGAATTCACTGTCATGCCTTTAGGTTTAACCATTGCCTTTAGTTATCACGTAGATCTTGTTATTTGAAACGTATTTTATTTGGATATGTTTCCTACATGTTTTTATTGGTAGAACCAGAATTTTCACATTGGGTCGTTTGACATGTTTATTTAATTATTTAATGAAATATTTAGTAACGATTTAAACTTTAAAAAAGTTGGTCGTTACAATTTCTGTTGCTTTTATAGTTCTGAAAATAACACAATGAATCAGATGTCCATATTCACTCATCCTACTACAGTTTGGGGTTTCAGTTCATTCACAAATATATCAAAATTTTTTAGTATTTTCATTTATTTTCTTGAAAGAAACCTAAAATGACGCTACTATTATTTCACATCTTTTCATATCACTTCAGCAAGAAATGGATACGTCGAATTGACAAGCACTGAAAGTTCCAAACTCTAAATTATATTTGGAAGGCCTAAATCATGTAGTATGGATTGCATACAAGGAGGAATGTTAATTGCAATTATACAGAAACAACATAAAGAAATAACCTGATAGTAGTTCAGAATAGAGATCAAAAACAAAATTCAAAAGTATGCCACATTGTCAGGTGAAGTCATAAGCAAGTTAAGTCAACAATGGCACAATCGTCTTTCAACAAACTACTCAAACAGTATTGGAAGGTATAAGGAGAATTGAAAATATTAGAGATTTCCAGATTTAGCACCATATAATGATACAGTGAAGAAACTTCCTCAATTATATGATGTAGTATCATGAAAAAAAAAATGGAAAAGGATTCAGTCAAAAAGGTCCAGCGACCAAAGGTTTATCATGTTTACAATTTTCTCAAATTTCATAACCAAATTAAGCAACAGTACAAACATGCACAATGGTACTGAAACGTATTTAAATATACTGGATTGGAAAAGGAAAGAAATGCTCACATTTGTGTTGCTAAGTTCCAGATTGTAAAAGTCCATTGTCTTTTCAGTGAACAACGGCCCAGCATGCCATGTACCTCTATTCAGCTTCAAGAATTTTGGTCCTGAAATTCTAAAAGCGTGTATGTCATCAACAGCCGGAGGAACATAAAAGTGCCCACAGTGAGATTGCACCACGTCTGCACCAGTGGTGCCCTTTATTTCAGTTGGATCAACAATAGATGGCTTTCCAACTCCAAGATACCAAACATGGCTTCCAATTGAACCAAGGCATTGGGTCACACTAGCATGATGTGTTATTTCTGAAAACTTGAGAGCCCTATCTTCAAGATGCATAATGTAAAACCTGATAACATGGATATAAACATGAAGGTTAAATTTATTCAATTAATATATAAAAAGAAAATCAAATAGACTATCAACTTTTGGTGATAAAAGAAGTGCCTAGACATAATCTGAGGAAACAAGGGAAGAGTCTTGGATAAGACTTGATGCATGATGGATTGAGATTTCAGCATAGAATTTATAAGCAGCATAAGATAAGCACAAGAAGAAGCAAGCGGCAAGAAATGTGGAGAAACCGGAGAGGGGGGTGGAGAACTGGAGGAGAAACAGGGGGAGGAGAAAAATAAAGAGGGAGGGAAGAAAACTTGATACACAAGCATATTCATTTCAATTCATTCATCAACTGAACTTTCAAGTTTACATTACAAGACATAGAGAAAAATAAGCAAACGTAAAGAGAAAGGGGCTTGGGCCAAACCCATATACAAGCCCAATTAAAACTAACAAAGTATAAATAAAGATGGGAAAAATTCATAGGTCAGGGATTATCTTTCACGAAATCAAAAATCAGATCCCAAGGTTTAAATTTACAAAACTCAGGTTTTTCCGTAAATTAATTAATTATATTTTACAATTAATCTATTAAATTAAATATTTAACTATAATATAAAATACTCCACCCCACCTCCACCTCCACCTCCATCCCACCTCCACCACCACCACTCCGGCGACTGTTCAGGCGACTACTCCGACGACCGGCGACTGTTCCACGCTTAATTCCGGCGAACATTTTTCGGTGACCGTTAATTCCAGTAACTGCTCCAATTCCAAGGTCACAGATCAAAAAAATTATATGTCACAAGTCACGTATTTTCAAATTTGTGTGTCACAAATTCCTTTTTTTAGTTACAAATTATCAATTTTAAAGTCACTGTTCAATAGCGAGGTCACAGACAAAAAAAAAAACACCACAGTTCAATAGCTAGATCACAGACACCAGAAAAACCACTACAGTTCAATAGCGAGGTCACAGACACCAAAAAAAAAACCACCACGGTTCAATAGCTAGGTCACAGACACAAAAAAAA